AATACAAACACAAACACCACAGTACTGTTAACTGTAGTCATGCCGTTATGCTACACCCCGGGACTTACTGATCTTGTAAGTGGACGTTCTTACCTTCTGACCACCTTCAAACTGTTACTATGCAGATTTTCAAGCACACAGAAAAATGGAAACAACCGTGTAACCATCAGCCAGCCCCCCATCTAGAGTCAACAAACGTTAACGTCCTTGCTCGCTCTGTCACCCAAATGCCCCATTTGAAAGTAAGCTTCAGACGTTAGGAAACTTGGGCCCTAAATACTTTGGTTTGCATTTCCTAAGAATGTGGACGTTCTCTTCATCATTCCAGTACTGCCACTGCATCCAAGGAAATGAAAGTATTTCCCTAATATATCCAGAACGTAGTAAAATCTCTCCAATGGACCAAAGATGTCTTTTACATTCCAATCGAGATTGACAGAGTCTGTAATCCACAGTGGCTATTCCTCCCCAAGAATGCTTTAACTTTCTCTTAATGTTTATTTTAGAGAGAGAGAATGAGAGAGAGAGAGAGAGAGAGAGAGAGAGAGAGAGAGATACTGCGCACACGAGAAGGGAGGGGCAGCGAGAGAGAGAGGGACAGAGGATCCAAAGTGGGCTCTGAGCTGTCAGCACAGGGCCCGACACAGGGCTTGAACTCACAAACTGAGACCATGGCCTGAGCTGAAGTCTGATGCTTAACCGACGGAACCGGCAAAGCACACCCCCCATGTCCCCCCGCACCCCCCCCACCCCACCAAGAACACTGTAATCTCTATTATGCTTTGCTCACGCCACAGTCCTCCTCCTCCTGTCCACCGGAAAGCACGGTATAGACAGAGAGGACCAAACGTGGGGTAGGTTTAAACTCTCTGAGCTCTTACATCATATATAAATAGACCTAAGAGTGATCTAAGAAAACTCATTTACATCTTTGGACCTTAAACTCCCTTCCAGAATGAGATAGTGCAACTAAATGATCTTAAGGATAGGCCAGACACCTAATAAATGTTTGATTTAGTTCCATTAGAAAATGAAGGCATCTCTTACGATCTCAACCCCCGGTATGAGTTCTATGTGCAATCGGGAGCTGGGCAGAGTCCCATAAATCCCTTGTTAGCTGGCACTTGGGAACCAATCACACAGATTTAATATCCCCCGTCATCCGAACCCAGGGACCAAGGGATCTGACGAGCCCGGGGCACCTGGCTGACCGAGCCCCTACCATACGGGCACGCCGAAGGCATCCGCTGTGCCCGGCATTAGGGAGAGCACAGTGGTAAATGACACGGCCTTGGATTCCAGAATGAACTGAGGGGGAGAAGGGAACAGAACCTTGAGCCGGGGAAAAGCGGCAGGGGTGGGAGCACGGGCGCCAGGCCCACCGTCGGCCGCCACCCTTCGCGACCTGCTGTTTCCTCACAGAAATGGACACCGACTACTCTTGTTATTCGAGGATCAAACAAGCGGACATGTTGAAAATACTTTCAGAACCGGAAAACGGCAAAGGCTATAGAACGTCGTCCGAAGGTAAGCGGTTAACGAGAGAGAAGACCGGTCAGAGGGGAACACGGGTGAAGGCTGCCGTTCTCAGAGTGCCCACCGTGTTCAAGGAGCGAGCGCAACAAATAAACATTAAAAA